TGAACGGTTACTAGGAAGCTACAGGCAGGTGAGTTTTAATTAGGGTTGGAGCTGAACTCTGCAGGGCTGCGGCTCTCCAGGACCAGAGTTCGCCACCCCAGCTATATATAAAATAAAATTGAAATTAATTACTATATATATATATATGAAAAATGCATCACGGTTTCCACACAAATATGAAGCAGCAATAATAATAAATGTTTCTTGAGCAGTAAATATTAGAATGATTTCTGAAGGATCATGTAATTACATTTTAAAATATATTAAATAGAAAATAGTTATTTTTAATTGTTATATTTCTCAATAATGCTGCTTTTACTGTTTTTTTTTTTCAAATAAGTGCAGCTTTGGTGAGCATGAGACTTAAAAAAGATATTACAAAATCTTACTGATCCCAAACTTTTGTGTAGGCCTACATGTAATATTTATTTTAAATTGGCTAGATGTGCAAGTAAACTTATTTAAACTGGTTGTTAAAAGTTAAAATGGATTGTGTTATGTTCTGTAATTGCTGTTAATAAATCTGTCAGAAAGAAATATGCTAAAGTTTCACCTTTAGGGTAGGGGTTGAATTACTGTGCTTGAAAATATCGGTATCGGATCGAAAATAAAATAAGTGGTATCGTCCATCCCTAATACAGAGTCATGTCTGAAGCTGTGCTATAATAATGGGTTGATTGAGGAGTTGAGCTTATCTTCTGTTTACAGATCCCACCCTTTCCGCAAGCATCAACTCACTCTCCAGCTGCAGGCAATTCAGGCGGCCCTCTCAAAGAGTTACTTACATTCACTTCCATCATGCACTCAAGGAGACACACACACACAAACCTGTGCACAATTACATGCATATGCTAATATGATCATACAGCCAAACAGAAATAAACTAACAGAAAAAATATATACAAAAGCTGTCACTGGGGTGGTATCTTTTCAAAGGTATACTTTGTACTTTATCCCTAAAGGGTGCAAAATTAGTACCTTACAATAGTACCAAAATGGTACATTTTAGTACTTAAAAGGTGCAATTTAGTACCATTTAAATGGGTACTGTCCAAGTGACAGCTTTTGTACCATTTTTTCTGTGTACAAATAAAGCCACTTGGAAACACATCTCTGACTAGTGTTTAAATGTGCGCAACATATATGGATCAATTTTTGCACAGTATTTCAAAAATGTTTACACACTGTCCTGATTCCTTTCAATTGTTAAAAAGTTGAAGCTCCAGCATCTTCAGTAAGGCAAGTGAATGGGGGGTCAGCTAACCTAGAGGACATGAGATCTTGAATTTGACCGTTTACTTCTTTGAAACAGTGTACTACTGTACATATTCCATTAAACAGTACACTTTAGTGTTCCTTGACTTTTTAAGTATTAGAAGCACAAATACCATGTTTTTGTTGTATTTGTGTGAACTATTAGATGCGTTTAATAAACTTATGTAACATCAAATTAACTAATTTCTTACAGATGACATCTTGCTATGTTTGATCTTTTCCCCACGACGAAAACATATGTATTGAACATTTCTAACTCTCATTCCATTTAAAAAATATATATATATATATATACAGTTATATTACATATAACTCCATGTAAAATAAATACAAAAAAAAAACTAGTTATTAATAGGCTACTTTGAACTTCAAATGTTGATGTCATAAGCATTTCAGATTTTCCCTTCCACTATCACGACATAAACTTCACTCAGCTCCAGGAGATTAATCTATGGACTATTCGATGACAAAATGAACCAAGCCTTTTATTAAACAATACAAACTTTATCAACTCTATTTCCAGTGTTAACTGCTAGATCCCTGTGCATCCAAAAAAAAAAAAAGATACGCAAAAGCCACAACACCACATTTTAAAATCCATGCTATATTCTCACACAAAAGCACACCCTTCTGCAAAAAAAAAAAAAAAAAAAGGGTATTAGGTAAAGGTATAAGGTAAGCCAAATAATAAATAAATGACAAAAATGCTTGAAAATTAAAACTCACAACAAGCTATATCTATCGATACAAGAGATGTCTAGTTATGTGAACTATTAATTGTAACAAAAACAAAACAAAAACTTTGTCAAAGACCACTGGATCACTATCATCATGGTTAAATATGCATGTTAGTCAAACTGGTAATAAAGTGTCATTTTTTTTTTACTTTTATAAATGGAGCTTATTTACAGAGCGTCACAACAAACAGAAATTCCATAGTGGACTTTTTTTCATCCCCTAGGAATTGTCCTGCTACAAATACCAGAAGCATGAAGTCTGACATGTCATGTAAATAAAATTTAAGTGCTACAGTGGTCGTATGCAAATGACACAATTATGCACAAAACAAATTTTGTGAACCCTTGTCAACGCCACAATCTTGGCCCCATTTAAACCTGGGTGACATTTTCATATATGCATTTTAAAACATGCATCTTAAAAGCTGGTTTAAGAATTAAATTTGAAAGTGGTGATACGAAAATGGTAGAATTCCTTCTACATTTTTCCCAGTAATTACAAAACTTGTCTTTGGTATGGAAGTAAGGCTAAGATGGAATTCAATAACTACCACACTCAGCAAGTGTATGTTATGCTCTGCTATTCTGAAATCAAGTACTTCAGTACATTAATGGCCCTTTGAATTAAATGTCTTCATTCCAGCTTTCAAAGCAAGTGGGGGGCGGGGGGCTATCTGATGATATTAGCACTGAGCTCATTTATTAGTAATGCGATCTGGGTATTTTCGGTTTCCTGATGTTTTTACAACTGGTGCGATACTTTGATTAAGGGGTAAAGGCTCTACAATAGTGCATGTTATAAAGAAGTTCCTGAATGAAGTGCTCAAGTAGAAAACAGTCATTGAAAATGCCAAAACAAGGCATGTGCATGAGAGTATACTTCAATGAATCTCATTTATGCAAACTGCCAAATGACAAGCATTAATTGGGGAAAATTAATACAGAGCCAGAAAAGTGGCTAATCATCTATTTCTTGGCCTCATAAATGCATAGTTAACAATAAAACAAACATTTGGGATAGTTTGACAACTGTTCTATAACAGTTTTTCTTTCACAACTATAATCCACTTTGGCATTTTGGTTTCTCCAGTTACTATTACCCCCATTTTTTCCTTCTAATTCTTACATTTAAAATTAGAACTTTTCGCAACCATATTCAAATGTAAATGCAATTATAAAGGTGCCAGATAGTGCAATAACCAGCTCCATTATTATTCATTGACTGGGTTTAATTTAAACCCAGCCTGTTCTGTTGGATAAAATCTGATTGATATATTCAAATCTAGAGGTTGGGGAAACCCGAAACGCAGCTTAGGGAAGTGTCCTGCCAAAAAATAAAAAATAAAAATATTAGCATATGTAAATTTAAATACCAAAAGTGCACTCATTTATTCATTTTGAACATTATTCATCAGTCATTTAAAGGGGTCATATAACGTTGCTAAAAAGAACATTATTTTGTGTATTTGGTGTAATGAAATGTGTTTATGCGGTTTAAGGTTAAAAAAAAAACAAATTTTCCACATACTGTACATTATTGTTTCTCCTCTATGCCCCGCCTTTCTGAAACGCATCGATTTTTACAAAGCTCATCGTTCAAAAAAAGCGAGGTGTGCTCCGATTGGCCAGCTATCCAGTGCGTTGTGATTGGCCGAATACCTCAAGCGTGTGACGGAAATGTTACACCCCTTGCCA